TGTGTAAATTAAAAATTTTTCCCTTTTAGCAGTAAAGAGGCCAATGCGAGTGTAATCAACAGAGGTTTAGTAGATCCTCTTCGGCCTGAGAGGATTCAAAGAGGGTGAAATATTTTATTACATTCTCTTTGAGGGTTAGAATGAGGTTAAACACAATTTGTTTTACTCATCTGGACCTCGAATTGGAGTTTCAAACCGACTCCGAGGTCCAAATGAAGACAGAGCCGAATAATTGAGGCAGATTCCGGAACCAAATACTCGACTCGGGGTGATTACGCATCCTTTAGAAACAACCTGTAAATATTTAATTTATTGACAGATAAGAAACTAATTCTTATCATGTGTTGGTGAGCGAGCGAATATATTCTCTACGTAAAGCGAGGTGTGAGGCGCGACTCGAGCGCGTTGTCCGAAAATTGAAATTCACATCTTCTATGAAGTGGCACCGCCGGGTATCGCTGACGGCGGTGCTCGGTGGAGCTGTGTGCGCACGTGTGAATCCCCATCACCGGAGCGACGGGGATTCCGCGCGTTCCGGAACGCGTACACGCGGATAATTCGCATCGGGGTGTCCCGCGGTACAACGGTGGGCGACGACGACGACGACGGCGGCAGCGGCGGCGGCAGCGAGACCTTACCACCCCGAGCGCGTACAGCGGAATCGCGCAACGTCCGGTCGCCGCGATAATTGCGGCGTTCCCGGCGAAATTGGTTTTAAGCGTTCGCACACGCGTAATTCCTAAATTGCCGCGTTCGCAAGGCGGCGCGCATTGAGCGATTACGCAGCCACCGGCGGCGGTTGTAACGCGCCGCGCGTTGCGGCGCGGTGTTTCGCACGACTCCGCTCTCACTTAACTCTTGTGGTACGCGATGCGCGATCACGAGCGTTTACTAATGATATGTCTGCGTTCCAATCCAGTGTATATTTACAGTATACCGGATTTCTCGAGACAAGATATGCGGGGTGCGTAATGTGAGCTAATATAACGATTAGCAAGGATCGTCGATAGATTTGACGTTAAATTCTCTTTGACGGAAATTCGAAGACGGTCTAATTATTTGACACTGACGAATCTACACGTGTAGAGAATTTTCTCCTAAAATTTATCCCGAAAACCATGTAATCGCGGGACAACACGGCGTTTTGAAGAATTTTATGGGAGTTTTGTGAAACTTTGCCATACATTGTACTAATAATTATACTTGATGCATATTTTACTAGTAAAATGTATGGTCAAATTTTCAAAAACTCGCATAAAATTCTTCAAAATGCCATGTGGTCCCACGATTACTTGATGTTTAGGGTAAATTTTAAAAGAAAATTCCCTCCGTGTACAACGTCCTTTCCATATAATTTATAATTACAATTGCAATATGTATATTACGATTGTTTATTAATTAAAACGTAATGTATGTATTACTTTACTTTTAATATCCATTACAAGTATAATAATTGCATACTTTCTTATACTCATAAAAATAATATAACTGTCACCCATATAACACTTGAATTACGTATACACAGTTGGAAAATTTGTGTTTTCTTGTTAAAAAAATGCCGGTTAAAATTTTTGTGTTAAATGTTTAACACATTCATGTGTTAATTTAACATATTGCTCTTGTGTTACATAATTGATCTCAAATGTAAAATTATTAAAATAACTGAAAAGAAATGTTAAAACAACACAATGTCTACTTATTTTTTAATATGACACAATACATGTGTTCTATATTATTAATAACAAGATTTATCTGTTAAAATTTACAGAATAAAATGGCGATTTTATTCTATAATATATAACATAAGTAAGAGACATTTCGAACCGTCATTTGACTTATTACATCTGTAAAATGTAAAAATTAAATTTTTTAATTCATTTTGTCATTAAAGATACGTTAACTTTACACAAAATTTATTTCAAATTATTTTGAGATTTGCATTTATTTTGTGTTAAAATATTAACAGAGTATTAGTGTGATCATTTAATATATCCGCATTATGTTAAATTAACACAAAAATTTGTGTGGACCGTTTGGGACAAGTGATATTTGTTAAATTTAACACAAATTTTTCAACTGTGTAAACATACAATTCTCGAGTTAAAGAATGAAATGTTATTCGCCCGAGCCCTTCTATTAAACGGACCGTCTGTTAATTGAACTTTAATCTAAATTATAATCTAGAATGGAATTTTCGATTCTTCGAGAAGATTGTCTTTAAATACTTCGGAAAATGCGTTTCCGCTGTTGATTGCCGCAATTTACGATACACCCTGCACGTGAGGTTCACCCGCGGGAATTCCGACGAGCGCATTTTAGATGACCTGGTAGAAGCATCTGTAATTTATCCAGAATTTAATGACCTGCTTCGTTTTTTTTCCCGTTAAAATAAAGTGTAATGTTTTCAGGTAAAGTCAGCGATACGCCAAATTATTCGCCATTTCCCCGCTTTAGTGCCTCTCTAAATTATTGATAAATCACTACTTACTGCACGTACACGTGATCGAGACTGGCGATCTAACAGCCTAGAAGTAAATACCATGCCCGCGCGGGGAACAGCTATGCACATATCGTAAACATTTATGTTGTCAATTATAATTTTTTCGTGAGTTAAAAACAATTTTCCGCCTGTGCATGTAACATAAAAGATCGCAGGTCTTGCATTAAGTTTAAAATCAGGTTCAGTCATAACTGTATCGCCGTGATCAGGATAGCAAGCTCTACGGCTCGCAAAGCGCAGATCGAGGTACGTTCCTGATCTTTCGTTTGCCAAGGTAAAAAAGGGAGGGAAAGAACAATCAGAGAAACATATCAATAACACAAGCGCCAATCGCAAGTTTGTCGAAGAGCCGCAACAATACGCATCTGCATATGCGTGGAAACGGTATAACTAATCAGCGACCGGCGTAAGTATAATGGGCCTCCTCGTAAATAATGAATAGCGTAAACCGTAGCGAAATGATTTATCGCGTCCAGCGCGAGCCGACAATGGCTTCCTTTTGGACGGCGGCAGACCAGCCAGCCAGCCAGCCAACCAGCCAGCCAGCCGTTTGTACCTCTCCCCGACGCTTTCTCTCCCTCTTTCACCCTCTTCCTGCTACCTCGACCGCCGCCGCCGTGCCCGTGTCGCGCAATAAATCTGTCCAGATGGTGCGGTGTACAGCCGTCGGCGGCGACGGGATGCGGCGCGACGCGGCACCGCGCGCCCCGGGGCCGCGAAACTCGTCGGCGTTGACCGATGGTCAAGGTGCCACCATCGCCCGGACGCGTTAAGGCGAATTTACGCGGCTCACCCTGGACGACGTCCGCGCCGCGCGAGCGAACCCTCGATTCGAAGAACTGGGACGGACAAGTGCACGTGGGATTTCTCTGGATCGTCTCAACTTAATCTATACCTTTTACCGAGGGGTAAACCGCTGAGGGCATTGCAGTGTACAGATTTGCGACATTACTGGACATTTTTTGGACATTAGTTTGGACATTAGGCCTTGCTGTGGTGTTATAAAGATAAGATAAAATAAGAAAAAATAATGCCCACCGGGGATTAGCAGGCATTGGTGTACATGATTTTGGTCAGCGGTTTACCCCTCGCCTTTTTCTTTTCGCTGATGGGAAATGATTTAAGCTGCTTTCCTTTTAGAAAACACAGTCATTTTTTGACACATGTCGCTTTCCATTTAGAATTTAATTCAAACTCAATCGGCACTTTTCGACTCTGCTCAGGAGGAGAGTCGGAGTTTGTGTTTTTGACCGAAGAACGCAGTTCCGCTCCAAGTATTTTGATAAAATCTTTTTTCGACAGAACCTTTTCTTAAAATCTTGTTCTTTAAATCTTTCTCGTTTCACAGTGACAGACTGTGCTCGAGTGTATTAACTTGTGTCGATTTGTGTCTCCTAAAAGGAGACAAACGGTAAGAAATTAGAATAATATTAGTGATCTCACGATCGACTTCTGCCACTTTCATGATTTCCATTTCAGAAGATTGAAAAATAAGGAAAACACTTTTAACAGATTCGATAATTAAAAATTCCACCTTCGGCTCGTCTATGCCTTCAAGGATTCTGATATCGAAACAGGTATTTTATAGGAGACCAGAGGATCAGGGAATGCTACAGCAATACACTTAACATAATTATTAAAATTAATTACATAAATGCAAAGCACGTACTTGGTAAAATGTAGCCTCGTATTTCCCAAGGCGGGCATCAATGACGGAACGAGACCCCGATATTTCACTTCTGACGAAACGTTTCATTTCGACCGTGATTGCGGAAACGATTTTCGGTAATTTGACGAAACGCAATTACCGCCTCGTACAGGCATAAATGCGATTCGGCGTCGAGCCTTAAGTAACGACCCAAGTAACGGGGAAGTCCGATATCACGGCGCGAGGGGAAGGCAGGCGCCGCGTGGCCTTTAGTGCGTGAATTTATTACACCGTCGGACGTAAATTGTAATTTGCTTTACGTCGCATTCGCCGCGCGCGCTCGTCATATTTTGACTCGCCATGTGCGATTGTCACAGCGGCACATTATTCACTATCAGCCGTATGTTTTCCCATACGTTATCCTCAGACTCGCCCGTTACCTTCCCGACGCGTCGTGCACGCCGTTGCAAACATTACGTATCGATTCAGCGCGGCTCGCGCATTTTTATGTACGATGGCGCGAAGCGATGTTGATGAGTCCGTTAATGAAAACCTTACCGCGCGTTATATCGCGAAGGAGATTAGCGCGACTCGAATCTACGATTGATGTTTCTGTAGATTAGCGGAAGATGGTACTTCGTGACGCGGTGTAATTATTAATAAATTAATTCGTCGTTTTTTTTTTAATGAAAAGTCAGCGTAGTTCGTGAAAAATAAATGGAATCTCATTCTGCCTGATAAACGAGTTCACCAGTCGAGATAAGGAATATTTGTTTACTTATTTTATTCTGAACGTGAAAATAGAAAATTTTTTTAATCTAATGATATAAGCGGCTTAAACGGAATACTCACATGTTGGTCTTGACCTGTTGGGCCTAGTTAATGGAATCCATGGTCTCTGGGGCGGATGGTTTGCCGTAACTGCAAAACCAAAAAGAAATCGTCATTTAGTATAAGCTGCACGAAATTAACTAAATAAATGAAAAATGATCGGGGCGGCGAACGTCCTAATTGTCTAATTTATTTTGAAAGTCCGCACTGGTCATCGCGCCTTTTTGTCAACAGTGCTCTTTCGAAGATACAACTTCCGAGTTCACGATCCCCCGTTTCTTTAGTGAAGCGACTTTTACCGTCCTAGGCGTAATCTAATTAGATGGCGAAGCAAAGATCACGATGATCGCGGTTATTATAATCGCTAAATTGACGCGTGGAGAAGGGGCAAGGGGGAAGTTGCGCGGGTCGCGCGCTCGTTAAAGTTCATTACATCCCGGTTCATTACGTCTAATGGCGCCCACTTACGGGAAGCGCGCGGTCCGATAATTAAATCGTTCAACCGAATGTCACTTGCACGGGCCCCCGTGGCTATTAACGGGGTACGGGGCCAAGAAGTACGCGCGCGCGCGCGTGAAAACGCGAGGAAAGAAAACGCGCCGTGCCGCATCGCCTGCACGTGACAGCGGGTTTATACCGTGTGTCGTCGTATAGCCTCGCCTGGCCACTTTACCCTCGGCAGGACTAATGGAAGATGTTCCCGGGAGAAGCGCCGAATTTATCAAACGCCGTACGCTCCCGGGGGGGAAAAAAACACCGTCGCGTCGTAAAATGAGACACGATTATTACACCGGTATAATATTTTAATACCGGAGGGGCCGAGGTTTTTCCGAAGAGGAGCGAGCTGCCTTAACGTTCAGGATTGTCTCGACAGCGTTCCGCCTGGTTAGTTTTTAACGACAAACCGCACGTTTGCGCGATACGCACCGCAAATGAGGAAGGGATACATGACACTGCGGTCGCCCGGTCATGTGGTTAAGAGTCCTGCTTTAGCCTTCGGCGGTTAGCGTAAGTATCGAAAGTCGTGCAAGAAATGCTCTACAAAGCTACCGCGAGTGGAAACTCGCGTTACTTTCATCGTCGGTAATTGTTGGTGTCTTTGAGAGTATTTTTCGAGGCGGCGAGACTCGTCTCGTCTCACCTTACCCCTTCCTGGCGCGATCCCTTCGCGCAGGACGGCGAGAAAGACGTGTGTCAGGCTGAGGTTTAATAATAGGAAAATAGGTCGACCTGTCGGGCGTTTATGTTCGGCATTCTCGAGATTCTCTCTTGAAATATCCTCCAAGTTTCAAGAATAATCTCGTTGTTTCTGGACTACAAGAGAGTTATTTACGGCGCGGGGGAAGTTTCGCAATCTATTCGGTGGTCGCTGCGCGAAATCTTCCCGAGAGGCGAGAGATCTTTCGCCGATATTTCACCGAGGATCTGTTCGCAAATAACTCCTGGACATTCCTACTTTTTTCCGCATTAAAATGGAATTATCTTTCGAGACAAGTCTTCGCTTATCGTCGAGCAAATAATAATATTTAAATATACGCGAGACAGACGTGTAAAAAATTGCATATAAACACAATTTTTTTGCGAAAAGTTAACGTCTCAGAAGCGAAGCGAGGGTGAGTAAGTAGAAATGGAGCGGTATATTAATTAATCGGAAGATAAAGTTAGATGTAACCGACCGTGCTAACGTAAGTGCGAACGAGACTTTTTGTAGGGAGGACACACGGGACGCATGTAAAGTAATACGTTGCCGCGCCGTTGCATATACATATAATGTAATAACACGTTTTCCGAATGCAGCGAAGCGTGAGCAATTTGCAGTCACTTTCCACTGATTATCGTCATTAAGTTGCCGTATTATCTGGCGCGCGCGCGCGGGGATGACCAACTCAATCGCGCCGCATCGTCCATCGAGATTAATCCAACGCTTTTCGAAGCTCGTAACACGTCGCGTTACAATCATGCGTGCCAATCATAGCGTCGCTGCCGCGGGCACGTAGGGATTAATCGGACGGGAATAACTCGCGCGCGATGGCGTTGAATGCGCGCAAAAACGGGGAACCGAAACCGTTCTCGTCGGGCCGGGCTTCCCGCCGTCACAATCGAAACCCGGGGATTTCCGCGCGCGTTAAGTGTCAACGAGACGTTTCTCTCTCACCGGTAAGCCTCAATTACCACGGCGATTTTACTCAGATCTCAGCGCGGATATCTGCTTCAAGTAGCAGGGGAAATGGAGAACCCGCGTTTAATCTGTTTCTCCGATATCTTCGTAATTTCACGCGCGACTATTTGCTCCTTTCCGCTCGTTGTAACGGCGTGAATAGAGTAAAAAAAGAATAAAGAGAGATACGGGGGTCCACGCTCTATTCCCTGGAATCGATATCTTAACACGACGGGAGAGAGGAGTGTATTCCAAATACGCACCCTCTTCCTCCTTCTTTTCCTCTCACGGGATTTTTTGTTCGCAAGTTGGCTCGTTTCGGGCAAGCTTGTCATTATCCGCGCAATATTTCGCGCTCGGCGATAAGGGCGCGCTCGAGGAGAAATTCGGAGATCATCGTATCGGCGTATCGATTGATCTCGATAAAATACCTGCCCTGCGGGGGCAGAAAGAAGCGGAGGTGGAATGGAGGTGAGATACTCCGACGAGGGTCGCCGGCGAGGATCCTCGGCGAGTCTTGATCTATCTCGACGCGGAGGGACACGGGATAGAGAAAGAGGAGGGACGCGAGTGCAAGGGGGAGGAGGGTCGTAGAATTGAAACTGAGAATTCTATTTCGCTCCCTCGGGAGCCGCAGGCGAGAAGATAGAGATAGCGCCCGCGGGAGCATCGGTGTGGGATAATATAAGCGACATGCGAGAAAGGTGAGGAGAGGGGGAGAGAGAGAGAGAGAGAGAGACGGCGAGTCGCGCTCGGCATGCAAAGGGGCGTATTTCACGTCGCGGTTGACGTCGCGGCGATTTATTCGACGTTGTATTTCTGGCTTCAATGAATTTAAATGCGTAGAGCTTAGGACGAGAGCGTCGCGGTACCTAAGAGCGGCTGCCTGCATGCCCCTGAACGTTGATCCCGAGTTCCTCTCACGCACGCACGTACGCGAGAGGCGTTTTACACAAAATTCGGGCGAAGATCGCGATATTCCGTCATTAAGTGTTAATCGAATTCGCGACTTCACGGTAGACTCTTGACGATCCTAATACGTAACAGCGTAAGCCGCTTACGAATGTGAATTATGCGACGAGTATCTGTTTAAAGTTGAGCCATCAGCCCGGAGATCGTGAGATTGCATAATTACACTTACGTATATTAATTTTCACGGCGGATTCTCCCTTCCGGGACAGCTGCGATGACCGTAAGCTCCTTACAATGTGAATTATGAGACTCGCGCCTGTTTTATTAAGTTAATTCGAGATGGGATAAAAGACAGATACGCTATATTTATTACGCAGGAGACTAATTGTGTATATATGGGCGCGTAAGGGATACCTGGAAGACTGTGGTGATTATGTTCCTTTGGTCGATCGCGTCGAATCTTTTGGGGCACAGACATCACACGGCGCGGATCCGCGTGACGAGAAAGGAACGCGACGCGCGATTACAGCTGTACGATTCACGTACAGCGGCGTAGGTATGCGCGGAAACAATTACGCGAGACCCGTCCGTCGTCCGCATTCCGGGGTCTTACAGACCCAATTAAGATCTCCCGTCGAGACGCGATACGCGAGACGGCCCTCGTAATTTCCCCGGTGCAACGTGTTCGAGCTTCTTCACTTCGTGTTCGCTTATCGCGCGCCGGAGACCCACCGTCCGTCCTTTTCTCCCTTTACGCGCTCGTTTCCCTTCGCGCCGCCGTCATGGGAAGCGATCCGCGCTCTCTAAACTCGCTCACCTTGATAATTAGCGCGAATTGAGACGTCCCGATTTCGCCAATTGACGCGCCGATTAAGCGAGGAAGCATCCAAGACGACCGAGACGCGCGTTTACGAGAGGAAGAATGTATATCGTGTTTTTAACTTGGTTTTGAAATGTAAAATGACCGGATCGTTTTATTCGTCGCTCACGAGATGATTTTCTCAACCTTATCGCTAATTCCGAAAACTCGAAAATCAAGTTTCGCGCTCCTCTCTCTATTTCTTTTTTTTAATATATACTACAATTATATGTAGTATAGTAAAATAAAATAATTTAAAGATGTAAACTTTTGTTTATCTAATCTGCGTTTCCTTCATTCTCTCAATAAATAATCATGTCTAAAGCAACTTGGACGGGAGTTAAGCCGAGACTCAACCCCGACGTTTTTAAAGCGCATTTATTCTGCGACTCGCGAGGAGACTGTTAGAGCTATTACAGTCGCGACATTTTTAATTTATGCGCGCTTTTATTTTATTTAGGACGCATTTAATTTTCCTCCCCGAGTCTCCGCCGTGGTGCGCGCGCGTGTATTAAAATTTTCTTAATACCACGCCGCTGAAAATTTCGCAAAACAGTTTGCGGCCTCGTGTCTTCTTAATCTAGAAATTGCTCCGTCACGACGCTTTTTACCAAGCCCACGGAACCGTATAATTCGAAGCGAAAATAAAAGAGGACTGAATCTGCACGGCCGTTGTTGTGCACCTCCTTTATTCCTATCTTCCTCGTTTTATTGGAATTACAATTTTCGCCGCGCGTCCGTATTCAATAATGTAATCGCTAAAATTCAAGCTTCCTCGGAGATCGTTCGCGATATTATTCTCTTTGATGTGGCTGAGCCGTGGGAAAAATTTTATGTAATTACGCTGTTTATTATTCGGCACAAAAGCATCGAAGGCAACGATAATAATCGCCACAGAGAACATCGATGTTTTGTTTTATTTAGCCTAGTTTACCGTTTCCTTTTGAATTCAGTCTTGAATTAAATGAGAGCTGACCTAATAATCTATTTGCACTCCTGAAATGTAACTTGCGAATGCCCTCGAGGTTTTAATTAACTTAAAAACCTTCGATGACTCGACATTATTAATTTTAAAGAACATTTTACGTTTAATCATTTTATTATCGATTAATATAATAAAAAGACACTGGCAATCTACAACATCCCGTGTACAACTGCAGT